CCACTGGTAGCCACATTCCATCTAGTCTATATCAAAATAGTCGAGTTATCCGTAACTGTTTGCCATAGAAATATCCGCCGTACCACAGTCCAACATACTGGATGAGAAACAAAATCATCGTAAACGTTAAACCTGAAAATGAAATCCTTCCTGTGAATCTTACTTTAGGATGCGGCACCTACTAAATGATCGAAAAAATGACTGAAATTACTGGAAACGATTAAGTTACGGAACAATGTTAGTAACCTAAGCGGTTAATCTATGTAAAATTTCAGGAATTATATTATAATGATTAATTTTAAATGGGATACAGAGAAATGAAGCCTAAAGCATAATATAAACTTTATATACCTTAAATATATACTGGTTTCCAATTAAAACAAGTGGCAATATCGGGCGGTCTTTCTCGTTACATTATAGTTTGCTCATTATTTACAATGTCAATGTCTAACGGATATTTACCATACGTTTCATCATTGTAATTAGTGATTTAGCCATAAAAAATGAATATATAAAATTGGGCATTTAAATGATGCAATTTGATCACGAATAAAATGGTCAATTAACTATTTTGAGTGTTGTTATGTAACATCAAACAGTATTACAATTGGCAATGTTACATATACTAAATTATTAGTGAGATCACTGAATAGAAAATGTTTAAAACATGACAATAGGTTGGATGAAAGTCAATTTATGCGAGAAATTACAAATTATTTACATAATACATATACATAACCTTTAATTATCCATTTGCATCTCCCACTGTATACTACAACCTGAACTTTCTACTCAATTGGCCTCCAAGTGTTTTTACTAACACTGTGCTTTCGATGCAATAAAATTCTTCGCTCTATCCGACATCTGTTGCAACTTCGACACCACGTTCCACTACACACTAATTACAAACATCCTTATGAGTAGCATTTACTACAAATGTCCTGCTTCTTTTTGAATTATTTAATACATTGAAATAACTGACTATTAAGTTCATCTATAATCTGGTTGATTATGGAAAATTACGTATAACTCATTATATAAATGTCTATGAACAATCCACCAATGATGACAAATTCCTTTAGTCCTCAGCTTTGAAATAATAAATTTTTTAATGTATACACCATTTCTACGAATAAAAAGAAGCTAAAAATTAATACCAAATTAATCAGTAGTTTATTAAATTTCATAACCTTCCTTTATCCATTATAATCAAGTATCTTTAGAAAGATTACATGATTGGAGCAAGTTCTTCGGGTTGTAATATTTTATTGCTTAAACTCATGTTAGTATTTGAGTATCATTTGTATTTCAAACAATCAGATATTATGATTAAGTCTTGATTGTATATTCATTATAATTTCAAACAAATACAGTCAACTTCGATTTCACCTAAATTGGGTTGTTTTTTTTTTCTTTTTTATTAAAGTATAACTGTAAATAACACTAACTAACTCATTTATTATCAATAATTATTTTTATTACAGTTCCTTTTTAATTTATAGATTTTGTAATTATTTTAGGCGACTAAATGCATACTAATTAAAGATTCATTATTTTCTGATGCCCTTGAAATTTATTCTTTTTTTAAATTTTTTTTGTTTTTTTAAAAATTTTTTACAAATGATTGAATAGGTAATGTTTTCTTTTTAAAAAGAATAGGAAAAAAATACATTTTAGTACATCCATGAAATACCTTTCTGTTTCTTTATTATACATTATATTTATGATGACTGATGGTAGTATATGAATACCATTAATTTATTTATGAAATTCAAATTTTCGTTACAATAAACTATATTAATAAACCATAACTAATCATCTGTCACCATGTTTACCGACATAATATAATGATACATGAAAATAAGTCTTTTTTGTTGGTAAATGAAGAATAAAAAAAGAATTCTGTCATTTGTCAGGAAAACAAATTTCTAGTTTTCTGACATTAAGATGAAAAAGAACACAAGTTGTTGTGAGATAGTAACTCACTGATGACAGTGGTGAACGGTGTTGCAATTTCATGAATTCGTAAATTGGTTGAAGTTAGACCTCGTTGGATGACGGTTCAGTGGTCTAGAGGTTAAGCCTTTGCGTGCACGTTTGATCGGTTCTGGGTTCGAATCTCGTGAGGTGGGATTGTAGATACGCGCTGCTGAGTAGTTTTATATTATAACCAATCGGTCGTCCAGTACTTCCGTGTTTTCCATGGTGATCTAGCTTCAATCGACTTGTGAATTTAACTGTTAAATTAGAATGATTATTAAATAATAATGAGAATTAATTATATACAAAGGGAAAATATTTGTGAAATTAATTCAATGTATAATTCTTTAATATCATTATTTCATTTGTCATAGTTAAGAAATTTGTAAAACTCGAATCATTTTATTTGAGACTTGTATTATGAACTTGCCGACATTCATGTGTATTGTTCTTTTCCGACGACACTGAGTCTTACTACTTGATCATTTGCAAATAAAAATCTGTTTGATTGGATACTAATCTAGATAAAACGCTTTCTACTAGTTGAGTGTTATGTGTTAATAATATTCAAATAAATGAGTTGATTATTTAAAATGGTTAATCATCAAGTGATAAAGAATGGGATATTGTCTAGCCAATCATGATGATCGAATCTTTTCAATCAATTTACATTATGATCACTAGTTTTATAGGAGTTCAAGTAGTAACTGTTAACTAGCTTGAAATACAAATCCAGTGGGTTTTCGCTGGTTTTCTCTAACTATTTAAGAATATACAGATATAAAAGCACTTTTATTAACTTTATACGTATTGTGCAGTTCATTACGAATATCATTAATCGCACGGTTATTTTCATATTTTTTTAATAAAAACGTTTTATCCCGTTTTGTCCAATGAAATAATTAGTTTCAAAATGTTAATTATTGGTTACCGACTTCTGAAAAGTGATATAAAATGTAAATATACTGATCATCTTTTCCCCAAACTATGAACGTGAATAACTTACAAAGTACTGGCTGTATTGTTTCAAACATTGTCACGGACACCGATAACGTGTCCTTCAGTACGTTGTATCTGGTAGCATTACAGTCGCAAAAATGTTCCTTAACACATGAGCACACATTTTTATAAACTAGTTAATCAATCATTTATATTTTAATTTCTTTAATCATACCGAGAAACTTTTCATAACTAAGGGTTAGGAATTACAATAACCTTGCAATTATTCTCAGCCGTTTACTACTATCATGTTTGTTGACGAGAAAATCATGTCGATAAATGAACAATCAAAATAACTTCATAAAATATCTGATTTGATAATCTTAAACACATATGCCATAGAAAGGTAACTAAACACACAAAGATGATGTGTTATCAGTATCATTATCATTAATATTTCGATGTTTATTTCAGCAGCGATCGATTAATGAAATCATCTTTAATCTCCCAAAATATTCGATGGCAACTTACAAATTGAAAGAAAATTTATGAGAGAGTAAAGATGAATTATCATGACAAGGTTTAGTATTAATCCAGATTATCCACTGTACTCCTGAGTACAAAACTTTTTTTATTTTATAGGTCACAGGATAAGTAACAATCTATAAAAAGTATAACAGTTTATAAAAACTAAGCATTACGTTTTCATAGATGAAATATCTCGTGAAGTGAATCATAAAATAAAAATATTAGAAGTATTCATTACTCTTTTTAAACTGTTGTTACTTTGCATGAATCAAAGTATATTTTATCAAACTTCCCTGTTTTGGGTAGACTTAACCATGTGAATTATGGTCACGGGTGGAAAGTTTCGGTATCAAAAGAAATAGTAAAGTCGGTATGTGGCTCTCAGTGGAATTTAGAAAGCATGATTCACTGTCTTCGCGACTAGTTAGTAAGATCTAGCCGGTATTTTTCATTTTCGATGCCCGGTGTGTTATCCCTTGAACCGTTTAATCTAGTCCGTAATTTGGAAGGCGTGAGAGTATTCGCAAAGGTTTATGAATATAAGGCGGAATATTTTTTTGATTATAACACGATATATTGTATTTGTTGTATGTGATAATTCTTCTAGTTCGTTTGAGTTAAGACAAAATGACAATAAATCTTGATAATCAAAATACTGACACAAAATAAACCTAGATGAATATCTGTTGAAAGAAAAAGAATCTGACTAACCGAATGTGTTTATTTTTAATAAAACAGAACAAAATGTATGCAAACCCATGCATAATAAAAATAGATATCATCAAAATTCACTTGAGATATAATACATTGATATGACATTAAAACTCAAATGCCAATCAAACTATAATTTGAATGTTATGCTAGATTCTCTAGTCTTGATAATCAATGTATCATCAAAATGTATCAACTCAAATCTATATATGAAATGACATATTTGAATTTTGAGATGTATTTCTTTTTGTTGTAAATTCATTCTACTGAGACGTGATTTATGAAAATCTTTTAGTAAATGTACCATAGTAAAAACTATTCCACATAATAAACAATATCAAATTTTATCTATTTCAGTGCTTAATTTAACTCAGTCACAATAACTATTCGATCAACAATTGTAACATAGAAATAAAAAAAATTGTGATAAAAACACTAGAATAACACAAAGGATATAACAATTAAAAATATTTCGTCCATATTATTAGTTTAGTTTCATTTTTTTACATTCACTCCCTATATTTAAACTAAAGCTTTTTTCATAAGCATACCTTTCAAGTTCTTTGTGTGTGCTAATTGATAAGTATATAATATAAGCTCAATAATCTGAATTTTTCAACTAATCGATAAATGAGTTCGTATGGACAAGTATTTAGGTAGTCCGTGATATATTAATCACTGAGTAATTGTTTCCTTTTATTACTATTTTTTGCGAAATTATTTCGATCCCATTATATTTAAACGATAAGTATATAGCTCGATGATATTGATTTATGTATCATATAAGTATACTGAAAATAAAAAAAAAACACTTTTCTCTCTCTTAATATATCATTCTCTAGGTAATCCATTGTTAAAAAAACATTCAGATCCAAACGATTTACTATTGAAAACAAAATTACAAAAAATGGTTGGAACATCACAAAGCTCTGGTAAACCCGGTGATTTAATCTGCCTATGTATTGGCGGCCGATTATTTGTAACTAGAAGAGCTACACTTTATCGATTACCAGACAGTCGGCTTTATTTAATTGCTACACAAGGATCAAGTAATCAAGAGTCGAATATAAATTACACAAATCAATTAAATATAGGCGATGATTTTGTCAAATCAATGAATGATAATAATTCTGAAGTAGCTTCAAAATATTTATCACAATCACAAACATCTGGTAGATTAGTTGGAAATGGACCAAATGATGGTGCTTTAATTGGTGGGGCATCAATTCTTCCTGATAATATAGCATCAATGGTTGCAGGAAATATGAATTTACAGTCAGCTTCGTCAATTTGCCGAAATCGTGGCTCTGGTTTTACTAATCCAATAGTGAATCCATCTCATGGAATTGATTTATATCAATCATCATCAAATAAGCCTGTTTCACTGTTATCACCAACATCAACTAATCAGTATACTCAATTGTCTAATGCACCTATAATGACAACACCTCCAATTGTTTATTTTTATGATCGTGATCCAGAAATATTTCGTTTCGTATTAGATTATTATAGAACTGGAGAGTTACATTTACCATCAAGTATATGTGGTCCATTTGTTCGTAAAGAGTTAATATTTTGGGGTATTGATGAAGCATTAATTGGTCCTTGTTGTATGCCTGCCTATATGAGATATGATGAAGAGAAACGAACAAAAAATACATTATTTCGTGATTGTTTTGAAGATATCGATTCGATGCAAAATCTTGTCAAATTTTCTAGAGGATGGAAAAAATGGCGATATAGAATGTGGTTATTTATGGATCATCCATCTTCATCTTTAGCTGCCAAGGTAACTACTACTGATATGTTTATTAATAGTTGATATTTCCCACTATATATATATATATATATATATATATATATATCCTTATTTAAAGTTCCCACGTAATCATAAATTCCTTTAAAGTTATATTCAAAAATGTTGTTTGTAAAATGTTGTTCAATTTGTAAATATCCTTATTAACAAGGTTTGACCAGCTGAAAAAAACTACTGAATATCTTAGTTAAATACTAGTTAAGTACATCTAAAAAAAATGGATCCATTTTCTATCATATTTAGGTTGGCATTCAAAATATCTGCGTCTGATAGCAAATATAATAGTATTCATTCATTGGTTCATAATAGTGAGATCACCTTTTCTAACTTGTAAAATAATTATAATTTCATCTTATATGAATGATAATAACCATAGATAAATGGTTTTCATTACAAATATGAAAGATTAATTTTTATTTCACTACAAATGTTTTATACTAATAGAGTGAAGTAACATTATGCAAGACCAAACGCTTTTCATTTTGTTATATTTCCATTTGAACTAATTTTGTTTTAAAGCTAACTACTTTTTAAATTTAAGTAGACGATATTATCCTTTTTTTGTTGTTGTTGGAAACATAATTTACTGATCCCTTACATATTTATTCATTCAAAATATAATCAGTAGAGTCTATATAGATTTATCAAACATTGTTAAATTGTCAAGATATTTAGATATGACAATAAAGAAGTATAATAGTAATAACAATAATAATATATATGTATCTTTATTGTTACTAAGTAGTATACATTAACTTGATTAAATAAATTTCACATTCATATATACAAAATGGATACAGTTGGCAAACGAAAAAAATAATAATGAAAAACATATTTTGTTTAGAAGAAGAATAATTTGTAATAAATAATTATAAAGTAGAAGAAAAAAACCTAAGAATAAATCAAGTTTTTGATCGGAGAAAAAATAAACCTGAATGAATTCACTTTATCTAATTGAATTCATTGATAGATTTTCTCTAATGGATAGAAATTGCATTATATTCGAAAGATCTAAAATAGAAGTAGCAAGTTTATATCTTCAATATAAATGAATAAAAATGAGTGGTGAATTAAATTAAGGCTAAATTACTTGAACTATAAACACTACCTTGTATCTTATTTCGTTTATCTAGTTAAGTATTTATTATAGACTATCATACAAGTAGTCATTTAAAGCTGAATATATTCAAAGAATAAATGTTAAGTGAGCTCAACGAGCCCCATTTAAATTTTACAAAAAAGTTTATGAAAAACATCGACTTTATAAATAAGAATGTACTTTCAATAATTGAAGCTAGACCACCACAGTAAATCTGGAAGCACTGCACGGCCGTTTCGTCTTATTGTGGGACTCCTCAGCAGTGCGCATCTACGACCCCGCTTCGCGGGGTTTGATTTCAGTTTGATACTAGTTATACAGCTGATAAAATCTATAGATTTACCAAGGAGATTAGTTATGGCTATCTTAGACAATTTTAGCAATTAAATTCTAACCTATCCTCAGATTAATTTAAAGACTTAATTTGTTCGTTCTCTCATTTTTTTCTATGTGAAAAACATTCGAATCATCCTAGAATGACTGATAATTAGATCTACGGAATACACTTCTAAAATTAGAAGTTACAAATGAATAACCTTTACTAAATCAATGAATGGCTGTTCTTTAGTAAGACATAAGTTTTTATAAGCATATTTGAATTTAAACTCAAAGATGACTGACTAATTCTTATCTAATTTTGAAGTGAACATAATTTCTTGATTGTACAATAGCTAGCTCACCTGATTTCCTGAATTAATATTAAAGTATTTCATGTATATAAAAACATTCGTATGATATGTACAACTGAAATAAATATTTTGTTAATTACTAATTACTTGACAGAGTAACTTATTGTGAACATTAAATACATGAATAATCTTATTGTGGTTGGATTAATCAAAATTGGGTTCAAATTGAATTTATTAAGTAAGCTGTCTTATTCAGATCATTTAATTTCTGTTCAAATCATTAACTGAATGATTTGTATACTGAAAATGTTAGCATATCTTTGTTAAGCTTATACTGTAAAGTGGAAATATCTCTGAGTTACATTATGAAATTAATTCGACACAGCGATCTAAACATATTAGTTTCCAAAAGAGATTGTAACAAAATATCACAGCTTTTGGATGGACTTTTGAAATTCAGATAAGGAAAGCACTAACTAGATTAAACATATTATTCACAGACAGCATTGATTTAAGATCAGTGTATTTTCACCGATCAAAATGTTGGCTTACCGGTTACCAACAATGTAACAGGATAATCTCGTTCCTGCTGTAAAAAAACTACCAACTCTTGAGTTTAGCTCAATTTAGGATGAGCATTGATGATGCGTTATAAGTTCAAATTAAATTGAATCTTTATTACATTAATTTGTTTTATCTTGAACTAAATCTCCCACTGTTTTAACATACACTCATATCATGGAAATAATATAACCAGTATTTTAGGTCAGTTACTTGTGACTAATTACTTTTTATTAATTATTTAAAATGAAATCAATCAAATTAAGGGCGAAAAAACATTTGATTAAAGTTTTAGGTTATTCAAATCAATTTGAATGATATACCTGTCAACATGTCAAATATGGAGACAGAAATTTAATATGGATAAAATTCTAAAATACCGTATAGATTTTGTAGTACTATCAATTAATTCTAAACAATAATGTTATTTGAAACTCTTCTTCAATCCTCCTCACCCACCCTTCCTTTTGTTTGTTTATTTGTAACTGATGCATATATCTATAGCTCTCGATAAAAAAGGATACTAATTCTCTCTGTATGATTAAATTGATTTCAAGAATTTTTAAAGAAATTCATGTGGTTTTTTATAATAAAATATTTCTCAAACAAATTCATTCTGAGAACTGCCTTGACGAACGTTTGTAAACAATAAAAACTGAATTGTGTGATTAATCTAACTACTTAGCAGCAATTATGTAATACTTCATAATCCATAAAATATGATCGGTTAAATTTATATATACTTAGATTTAGTGTAACATAAATAAGTTATGATTATTGACAATTGATATAAACGTATTTCTTTATGAAAACATTTCTTTAAATAGGCCGTAATTAAGATGCAAATTTGATATTGAGCGTAAGTGTAGAATCAGATTTTCAAAATTATTTGATTCACAATGTCTGGTACTCACAGGATTTGGCACTTAAATCAAATTGTCTTAAAATCGATGAGAGAAATTTGACCCCCAAACGATTAATTTATTTTCTAGTTCTTTACATCCGTCCATTGCGATATCGAGGCAATCCACTCAGGCACACATGTAGTGACTAAGACTGAACAATTTTCAATCAAGAATATTAAAAGTAGGGTGGTCAAAAACCATTAAAAATTAAATAAAATTTGTACCATTTGGATATGGGAATATCTATCTGGAATCAGTAGCTCAATCGATAATACGTTTGAGTCGTACTGTTAATATTATTATTGGGATGTTAATAAATCCAGCTAATGGGTCTTAAAAATGACAAAACCTGCGTGCTAAATTTCACCGCTTGCTATTACCCAACTTCACTAGTAACTCATTTATTTCTTGATATACTTTCTAAATATCATTTTTAAGCGATCGATTCATTGATGTCTGTTTTGATAAGTGCAATAACAGTATGACGTATTGTATTCTTCACTCTATCCTTAATTGTAAACATGATATGAAAATGTTTATTCACATCTAAATCAAGGAAAGTCAAATGAACATTTGACTTAAATTCATACTAACGTTTCAGATTTAAATACATTTTTGAGTGTAAAATTTTCCAACATATTTAAACATAAGTAGATGAACGAAAAATATTTTATTCCATAAATTCTTATCAATTTCTAGAACTTTATATCCAGGACAGCGCTCTACAGGGATAGACAGTTTTAAGGCAAATTCATTTATCTTTTCATAATTACATATGAATTTAGAGTTGTTAATAGGATAAAATTATTCATATCAAAATTCTTACTTGCGTCTGTTACTCGTCGTGGAGGAGCATAAGTCGTCCTTGAAAATCCCTTCAAGCTCCTTGCAGTTATTATTCATCTTTTTCATATCTGCTTCTATTTCTCGACGTAATGTGTTATTTGGCCTTCCTTTTACCGCCACCCTTCAGGATTCCATTTTGGGGCTTGCGTCGTGATGTAATTTGGCGATTTCCGTAGTGTATGCCCTATCCCCTCACATCTTTTCTTAATTTCCTCTTCAGCTAGAAGCTCCTTTGTCCTCTCCCACAGAAGGCTGTTGCTGATGGTGTTGAATGTCTTGAGTAGACAGCTACTTTTAAATACTTGCACCTTCTTGATGATGATTGTAGTAGTTCCGCACCTTTCAGCTCCGTACAGTAGGACGCCAACGAAATTGAACACATCAAAATGACTAGTATATAGTTTTCAGATTATTATTATTACTACTATTAGTGTCAGTAGTGCAGTTGACTTACAAATTTATCCAAAATTAACATTACATATTAGTACAAACAACTTCACTTCATTTTACCAATAATTTTAAATTCATCAATTGTGATTTTTTAAATCTCGTAGTTACAGATTGTAATTCACAAGCATCATTTGTTCACATATGAACTTCGCTGGTTTACATTATTATCTAAGTATGTAAATATTGAATTAACTATTCAGTCAAATGTCAAAATATTAACATTTTCTAGATGTATACTTTATTAATCATGTGAAATGTTTGGTACACTAATAGGAAATGATATTTCATTATGAATACTTCTTGACTAAAGTAATATCATTTTTAAATGAATTAATTATGTAACATATTCAAGATTATGAGTTTTTTTAGTACATTAAAAAGTTGATTGTATTGTCTTCTAGCTAGTTTATAAATGAAATAGTTCAATGGAATATTCATTATTTATACACATAGAAAATGGGGGGAAAATATGTATCTTAATGA